AACAGATCACAGACTTTGATTCAAAATAAGTATTTCTACTTGTCATATAAGAAAATCTCAATTTTGTTTGACTTCAATAAATATCAAAAATAAGTATTTGGTAACAGATCATAAACAGTTCTTTTATTTTTTCATGTCTTTATCTTTTCTTCTGCTATAATCTTTGTCTCTTAAACCCAAGAGAAGGGACCTATATGTATATTATAGTGGATGAAGTATCCTATTGATATTTAAAACCAGAAAATCAAATATAAGGGATCCACAAGGTTTCAATACAAAAGTGGTATAAGAATAGAGAGATCTGTTCTCATTCAAGAAAAAATATTAAGAATTCAGTTTAATGCCAGGCACGGTGGCTCATGCCTATAATCCCAGCACTTTCGGAGGCTGAGGCAGGTGGATCATTTGAAGTCAGGAGTTTGAGACCAACCTGACCAACATGTTGAAACCTCATCTCTACTAAATACAAAAAAAATTAGCCAGGTGTGGTGGCACATGCCTGTAATCCCAGCTACTGGGGAGGCTGAGTCAGGAGAATCGCTTGAATCTGGGAGGCAGGGGTTCCAGTGAGCTGAAATTGTGCCATTGCACTTCAGCCTGGGCAACAGAGCAAAACTCTAGCTCAAAAAAAAAAAAAAAAAGAAAAAAAAAGAATTGAGTTTAAGGCCAGGTGCAGTGACTCATGCCTGTAAATCTCTTGCACCTTGAGAGGCCCAGGTAGGCGGATCACTTGGGGCCAAGAGTTTGAGACCAGCTGGCCAAAATGGCAAAATATCATCTCCAAAAAAAAAGAAAGACTCATATCAATGTAACAATTGTTAGAGGAATGTGTATTAAACACAGTTGCTTTTGACTACAAGTAACAGAAATTAGACAAACAGCAATTTAATCAAATAAGGCATTGATTTTTTTTCTATAAAATGTCTATGTGTGTGTGTGTGTGTGTGTGCACATTTTTTTCTTTCCCCTGAGCACAGTTGAACCAAGTACACTGCAAGCATTATGGCACTTCATCACTAAATATGTCAACTTGTGTCACCTAAGAACAAGGACATTTCTACATAGCTATATTCTGTTGTTATATTCTAGGAATGTGTAATGGTGCCATCAGTTTTAAAATTCTTTACTCAGTTTTGTTCAATAATGTACATTTTGCATTTTTTAAAAAATCAGGATCCAGTTAAATATGTTTTAATTTAATCTAGAATGGTTTTCTTGCCTTTTGTCTTTAATGACATCAATGCTTTTGTGGGTCCAGGCCAATTATTTATAGAGTGTCCCACAATTTTGATTTGCCTGATTGCTCGCACATAATTTGATTCACATTAAACATTTTTGGTTAAAATATTAAGTAGGTGATGTAAATTCAGAGTACCACATTAGGAAGCATACCTATCAGTTTGTCCTGTTGTGGTGATGTGGTAAATGTGATCACCTGGGTAAGGTGGTGTTTGCCAGATTTCCCAGGTAAGATATCATTTCTCTTGTCAGTAATCTGTGGAGTGATACTGAGACTTCATAAGTATTTTTTCCCAACAAGCCTTTTTCTGACAGTTAACATCCTTTTATCCTTTCCTAACTTAATTTTTACATTGATAGTTAGAAAATAGTGATTTTTCTGGTTCTACCATTTCTTCTACTTAAGCTGGCATTCTTTTATAAAGAAAAGCATCTCTCCCAGCCTTACCTTCCCATAATACTGGAATATAGCACGTTGAATACCAGAACAGTCTATGATTCAGACTCATGGATTATTACGGGATTCAATATGCTGTATTCCAGTATTATCACTGTTTATTTTGATGCTCAAATCGTTCTAAATTTGGTCAGCAAGAGTTTTTTCTCTATGGTTTCTCTGTCCTTCTGACGTGTACATACCCATTTTTGAGCATTTCTTAGTCCTCTGGCACAAGAAGATATCCTAGGTCCACATTATGCTTTTTCTGCCTCAGACCTGGAATATGACATTTCTCAAAAGAGCTCTGGTTTCTTTTAGTGGGGAATGGTATTTAGAAGCCAAGATCTGTACTATTGGATTTATTTTTTCTTCCAAGTATCCTCCTTCTCCCTGAGAAATGCTGCCTTTTCTGAGCTTGCTATACCTGGTTCCGTGTATTTTTATGCCACTCTTTTGGATTCTCTATTAGCTTGGCTTCTGCAATGTTGGATCTGAATGTGTTTTCAGTATTTCCCACTAACAGTGTGACTTAATTTTTCTGGGAGTGATACCAGTGCTTCTGCACCCCTAGATCCCCACTCCCTCTATCCTGATTTTCTTTCAGTTGCCACCCGCTTTTCTCTACTCCAGCATAGGTTCTGGGGCTTGATCTTCTGAAACTGTCATTCCTTATCTCTCTTACATATAAGTTAAAACTTTTAGTAATCTCCGTCTCCTCGTTTTGCATTAGATATGGGATGGGATATGTATTCTTTTATTTGCTCTATTTGTTGATTTCTTTGGTTTTTTTTTGAAGAATATATGTTGTGATTAGAATTTAGATGGCTATAGTTATTCTATGAAAATTGGAATTCCTCAGTTTAACTGTTTTTATGGCTTTCTAAGATGTGAAATGTCTGACTTTGAGTTGAAGTTTTGATTTAAACTTGCTGACTCTTGGTAAACTTGGGCAAGTCTACAGTATACTTTAAAGTATGTTATGTCGTTTGTCCTACCCTAAATGGCCTCTAGCCAGTGTATTCTGAGTCGTTGGGTTTCTTTACTTTTTAGTAGCCTTTTTCTTTCCACTTGCAGACCAACATCAGCCATTTTCTCCTATTGTCAGTGTGCTGGCTGCTAAACCACATGCACTTTATGAATAGAGAATTGGGAATTTGGATGACATATCTTGTTAGACTTAGCTATGCCATTAGGATCAGCAGGACCAAATGAAAGTCTGAGGGCCTCTTGGAGCTTTATTTATGATCTGAATCTCCTCTGAATGTCTATTTGATTATTAAATAGCCATTTTTGCCTTGTTTTCAGTTCTTTACTATGTTCTGGTTTAGACAGTTACACTGGATAAATAATCTTAAAAACTGAGGCTTTACTTAGGTTTTATATAATAATACTGAAGGATGCAATACAACGTTAAGAGCATGGATGATTCTGGAATCTGATTCCTTAGGTTCAGGTCCTGGCCCAACTACTTGTTGGTTATGTAACTGAGTAGTTGCTTAAACTCTCTGTACTTCCATTTTCTTACCTATGAAGTGAAGTATAATAATAGTGTTTTCTTCATAGGTTTTGTGAAGACTGAAAAAGATGATACATGACAACTCTAGAATGGTGCCTTGGTGTTGATAATTGATTGTTATTACAGTTGATATATTAATTAATAAATAATAAAAATGTGTTGGATACTCATTCTGTACAAGGAGCAGTGATAGGCTGTTAAAGCAGATCACCACATCTTTAGGATAATCTGTATGTTACTTGCTCCCCACCCCCTCTCCAGATATCAATCCTGAAATTAAAATGTTTTAATGATAATTTATTAAACCTTTACACTTCCCATTGAGAAAGTGCAAATGGTTATTTTGTAGCGTATTCACTATTTAGGGGTTTACTTTAAAAGGAACATTATAAATGTCTGAGTGATGTTAATTGCAAAGTCTCTTATTCTTTTTGTATTCTGTAGAGACACATAGCTTGTAATGAAATTATACTGTTGTAGAGTTAAGTGTCCACTAGAGGTCACATTATACTTTTATATTACTTAAAATGTCTTTTATCTTGGTAATGTCAGTGAAGCCTACTTCAAAGAAAGACAGAGATAGGAAAAGTTATTGCTTCCTGCAAAAATACAGTTTTAAAAAGAAAAGAAAGAAATTTAAGATAGACTTTTACAGGAACCATCTTTATATGCCGTAGTTTGATATTTGATAGCTATTACTCTTTTGGTTAGAAAATTGGTTTGTAGTATTGAAGTAACAATGAGATCTTGGTACCCAAGCCAGAAATAGGAACTTTTTACTCTCAGTCACAGAATAATGTGTATTTTTTGAAATTTTTGAATGATTACATGTAAGTATGGTCATGTATAAATGTGTTCTCACATTTATTATTATTATTATTATTACTTTTTCTTTTGAAACAAGATCTCACCCTGTCCCCCAGGCTGGAGTGCAGTGGCATGATCATGGCTTACTGCAGCCTTGACCTCCTGGGCTCAAGCAATCCTCCTACCTCAGCCTCCCATATATTAATAGTTGGAACTCTAGGCACATGCTGCCCTGCCCACCTAATTTTTTATTTTATATAAAGATGGGAGTCTCACTATGTTGCCCGGGCTGATCTTGAACTTCTGGGCTCAAGCAATCCTCCCAATTTAGCCTCCCAAAGTGCTGGGATTGCAGCCACCGCACCCTGCTTATTACCTATTTTTATTAAAAAGAGTATGGATTTGGAGTACTGCCTACTTGGAGAGTGACCTACCCAAGTTACTTCTCTGGACTTTCAATTTCTTTGTAAAGTGTGAATAATAGCTGTGGCAATGTTATGTTGAATCACAACATTTAAGCTAAAATTCTGTTAAATGATGAAATGAGTCAACAGATAACTGCTGTTGTTTTTAGCCTGCTAAGGTACATTCTGGGAAAAAGAAAGGAAACTTTAAATCTTTAATAGATTTTTAGTTTGTACTTACTTCTTGGATAGCCATTGTGACTAACAATAGATCGTAAAAAATTCATTCATGTGATACTCATTCCAATGCTTTATGTTACTCTCTGTATGTCACAGCCTTGAGTGTGGAACCACTGTCTGGTTAAAAAGTGAGTACTGACTCCTGGCAGTTCTACATTTTTTTGTGTGGACTAATAGGTTTAATTGAATTTTTGTGTTGGCTTGGTCTGTTTTCACTGATAAATTTGGTCCTCATGTAGATAATGCCAAAATTCAAGTGCTAAATACCAAGGTTACCAACAAATGAGTCAGGTAGTTATGGTGTTAGTAAAGTTGGTGCTTAACATGATCTTTTAAATTTTTTTTTACTCTATAGATAACAGACAAGAGAGTATCCAGAAGACATGCCATTCTTGAGTTGGCAGGTGGTCAGCTGCGAATCAAACCGGTAAATATTTTATCAATTATTTATTTTTACTTTTGTCTCTTACTCTTTCAGTTCCCAAGCAGAGGTGCCTATTTTCTAAGCTTATGGGAATAGGGAATTGATGTTAGAATATATTCTTCTCATTGACAGAAAATAATTAGGAGATAAAAATCTAAACTATGAGAAAAATTATGTATTTTCACGTATGACAATGCTGCATTTACATAATTAGAATTTTAATGCAAGATAAATGCCAGTTCATGTATATGTTATGATTTGGTTTAAAATTGAATATTCCAAATAATATCCAATAAGAAAGCTCATAACTATGTAATGGTTGGTTTTTTGAGCTGGGGTGGTGACCAAAGTCACTGAAATGTTATAGGGTAATATTTTAACACATTCTGTATCACTCTGTATAGCATTGAATATTTGCAAAATTTAGACCTTGTTCAACTTTGAGGTTTTGAAAATGATTTTAATTTGAAAGTTTTTGTTGAGGGCTAGAATTTTAATTGCCTGCTTTATAGTTTACTGCTGCAAAATTACTGATGATATGCAGGGACAGCCAGTTTCTAAGAATATGCAATGTGATTATTCCTTTTCATTTGCAGAGTTTATTGTGTAGGAGAATGAAATATGTGTATGAGGGTCCATTTATTTTAGACTAGATAGTATGGTGGTAACATTTTATGGAATTAAATTCATTAATTTATAACCTCTTATAAATGAATTTGGATTTTCATCTTTTATATACAACTGCCTGTTGTATTGTTAGTTCTTTCTTTTACACAGGTAGTACTTGCTTTTATTATCCTATATTGAAATGTTTACAAATTTGGAAAGCATCTTTTAGTACTTGGAAATTTTTTGAATAAAGTTGTATTCACCTTATCTCAACTTTGAATAAATAATCTTTAAAAAGGTATATATCTCGTCTTCATTCTTCATTGTCTTAGTGTCTTGAAAGAGTGTTAATAAATATCTGGAGTCAACATTCCTGTAGGAGCCACTTTATTTACCATCAGTTATTCATCTCTGTATCCTCTCCAGCTATCTTATTCTTCTGAGATGACATGATGGATCTTATGATCCTTGAGTATAGGAACTCTGACTAATCTTTGTATCCCTAATGTTTAGTGTATGGTAGGTATTTAATTAATATTTGTTGAATGCATGAGTAAATGCTGTGTTGAGAATATTTTTGGCATTTCTAGGAGTGGGAACACGATAGATTTTTACAAAAGTATGTTGTTCTCTGGTGCCCAGTTTCTCACACCTTGGCAATAAACTACCATGGCCTAAAATAAGTTTTTTGTTGTTACTGAAGCACATTAAAGGAAAGAATAGAGAGATCTTGAAATTCTTATCCTACCTTTTCTTTTCTTTTTTTTGTTTTGTTGAGATGAGTCTCACTCTGTCACCTAGGCTGGAGTGCAGTGGTGCGATCTCGGCTCACTGCGACATCTGGCTCCTGGGTTCAAGTGATCCTCCTGCCTCAGCCTTCTGAGTAGCTTGGACTATAGGTGTGCACACAGTGCCTGGCTAATTTTTGTATTTTTAGTAGAGATGGGGTTTCATCATACTGGTTATGCTGGTCTTGAACTCCTGACTTACCTTGTGATCTGCCTGCCTTGGCCTTCCAAAGTGCTGGGATTACAGGCCTGAACCATGGTGCCCGGCCTTATCCTGCTTTTCTAATAGAACATGTTATCAGTAGATTTACTTTTTTCAAAATAGCAGTTCTAAGTTGTCAAAAAAAGGTACTTGAAAAAGGATAAAAAATATCAACCTTTCCCCCATGCCTAAATATCACATTTGGGGAAAGTTTACTTTTTACTTTATTATAAAGGCAAGCTGTTGATTAATACTCCCCACCATGTGTCTATGTGTTCTCATCACTCAGCTCCCACTTATAAGTGAGAACATGTGATGTTTGGTTTTCTGTTTCTGCATTAGATTGCTGAAGATAATGGCTTCCAACTCCATCCATGTCCCTTCAAAGAACATGATCTTGTTTCTTTTTATGGCTGCGTAGTAATTCATGGTGTATATGTACTGCATTTTCTTTCCAGTCTATCATTGATGGGCATTTAGTTTGACTCCATGTCTTTGCTACTGTGAATAAGCCACATACTTTTACTACCAGGTCTCACGAGAACTCACTCACTATTCTGAAGATAGCACCAAGCCATGAGGGATCCCCACCGTCCATGATTAAAATACATCCCACCAGGCCCCACTTTCAGCATTTGCAGATTACAATTCAACATGAGTTTCAGGTGAGGACAAATATCCAAACTATATCATTGTGCCCCTGGCCCCTCCCAAATCTCATGTCCTTCTCACATTGCGAGATACAATCATGCCTTTCCAATAATCTTCCAAAGTCTTAACTCATTCCAGCATTACCTCAGAAGCCCAAAGTCTCAGCTGAGACAGAGCAAATCTCTTTCATTTATGAGCCTATAAAATCAAAAGTTACTTACTTTCAAGAAACAATAGGGGTATAGGCATGTGGTAAACATCCCAGTTTAAAAACAAAGGGTGTGTAGGACCAGCACAAGTTCAAAACTCATCAGGGCAGTCATTAAGTCTCAAAGCTCCAATGTAATCTTTGACTCCATGTCCTTATCCTGGGGTACACTGATGCAAAGGGTGGGCTCCCAAGACCTTTGGCACCTCCACCCCTCTGGCTTTACAGGATTCGTCCCCTGAGGCTGCTGTCACAGGCTGGAATTGGTAGATCTATTATGTTTGAGTCTGGAGGTTGGTGGCTCTCTTCTAACAGCTCTACTAGGCAGTGCCGCAGTAGGGATTCTGTGTGAGGCCTCCCACCCCACATTTCCTCTCTGCACTGCTCTACTAGAAGTTCTCTTGTGAGGGATTTGCCGCTACAGCAGGCTTCTGCCTGGAGACCCAGGCTTTTCCATACATCTTCTGAAATCTAGGTGGAGGCTGCCAGGAATCCACCACTCTTGCACTCTGTACACCCACACGTTTAGCACCATATGGAAGCTGTCAAGGCTTATGGCTTGCATCCTCCAAGGTGGTAGTTTAAGCTGTATATGGGGTCCTTTGAGCCATAACTGGAGCCAGAAAAGTGGGAATGTGGATAGTATTGTCCCAAGGCCATGCAGGGCAATAGGGCCCTGGAACTGTCCCATGAGATCATTCTCCTATTCTAGGCCTCTGGGCCTGTGATAAGAGGCATCTCCATGAAGGTCTCTGAAATGCATTTGAGCCTTTTCACCATTGCCTCAGATATTAGAACTTGGCTTTTTTTTTTTCCTTTTTCTTTTTGAGACAGAATCTTGCTTTGTTACTTTGTTGCCCAAGCTGGAGTAGTGGCATGATCTTGGGAGGGTGATATGGTTTGGATTTGTGTCCCTGCCCAAATCTCATGTCAAATTGTAGTTGGAGGAGGGGCCTGGTGGGAGGTGATTGGATTATGTGGGCATTGAATTTTCCCCTTGCTGTTCTCATGATAGTGAGTGAGTTCTCACGAGATATGGTTATTTAAAAGTGTGTAGCACCTTCCCCTTCTCTCTCTTTCTCCTGCTCCAGCAATATCAAATTTGCCTGCTTCCCCTTTGTCTTCTACCATGAGTAAAAGTTTCCTGAGGCCTCCCCAGCCATGCTTTCTGTACAGGCTATGGAACTGTGAGTCAATGAAACCTCTTTTCTTTATAAATTATGCAGTCTTAGGTAGCTATTTATAGCAATGTCAAAACAGACTAATACAGAGTGGGAGGTGCCACACACCTTTAAATGACCAGATCTCACGAGGACTCAACGATCTTAAGGCAGCACCAAGCCATGAGGCATCTGCCCCTATAATCCAAGCACCTCCTGCCAGGCCCCACTTCCAGCGTTGCGGATTGCAATTCACTGTGAGATTTGGGCAGTGACAAATATTCAAGCTCTATCAGGAGTGCTATCTAAAACGTACGACAGATGCCTTTAATCAATTAGAAAAAAATTAAAAATCCAGTAGAAAAATGGGCTGAAGACTTGAACTGCACATTCGAAACCTGACTGGCTAATAAACATGTTTATATTAATATAGTTTTAATAAAAATGCCCATTATCTTGAAATAGATTGATGTATTTATTCAGCAACTTATTGTAGCTGCACCTACAAAGTGCAATTTAAATAAATTTAGATAAATTCTATAACTGATTTTAATTGTTAATGGAAGTTTAAAGATCTGAAAAATCAGAAAGATGGACAAGTGACTTCTAGTTCATTCATTTTATCTTAATGTTTGTTAAATATCACTTATTTTCTGTTCCCTCATCAAATCACAAATTCTTTGATATACTAAAGCAAATTATATATACAATTGTAATAAAATGTTGAGAGGGAAATTTTAGTTAAAAATCTTTAAAAAATTACATAAATGAATATAGCAAATTTTTTATGATGGTCCCTTCTGTATACTGCATAACCCAAATTATATTTAAGTGATTAAATTTTTTTTTGCTATTCTTTAACTTGGAAATCTACCTTATAAACTTACCACCAAATAAAAAAATAGCTTTGACAAAGAAAGTTGAATGCAATTAGGGCAATTACTAATTTGTACTTTTAAGTTGAATGACTTTCTGCCTTTTTTCCCTCTAACATTTCTCCTACAAAAAATGCTCTAGCTCTCCAGCTGTTCTTGGAAATGGTGCATGAGGAGATGATGCTAGCTCTTGAGGAGAAGATGTTAGCTTTTTTATGTGTCATTTAAATTTAATCTACAGTCTAGTATCAGCAGGGAGAAAAGACATTTAAAGGCAAACTGAGGATGATGTTCTTTGTAAATGACTGCATCACCAGTGATTGGTTATGCCCTCAGGGTGAATTCATAGCTGTCAGTGCTTTTATTTTGTTTTAATAAAATCTTACTCATTTGGGGTCTTGGATGATTGAGACAGTAGCTCTATAACTACATATAAATTGCAGTTTTTCTTTTTTTCTTTTGCTATCAACCCTCAAATATATGTCTTTGGGTGGTTGTGTTTGTTTTATTGCACAAGGTTCTCGAGTTGAGATTGTTTTTCTTTTCATAAAATTGAAAGTATAATTGTGAAATATCTGGAAAATCCTGTAATAGCCTTTTTTCAACTTACTTTGTTAAAAAAAAAGTTTTCCAAATTAAAAAAAAAACACTAAAAATAAGGTGTTTTTGGGGGGTATACATGTATCATCCTTTAAAATTAACTCTAAAAGAAAGCTATAGGAAATTGATTTGTTTTAGTTCCATTTTTTACAGGGAAAATGCGTCCTTTGTACCACTTCTAAAGTTATAGCATTATCTATTTGTTTGAATGTATAATTCCATGGATTTGTTAAAAGGCACACACCAATAATATGTCTCTCATGTAGGTAGTTATATCTTTTCATCACTGTAGGTTTGGGTTTGCCAATATTTTGTCTGCTCTTGTTTGCTTTTAGAATCAAAGCAAATGAGAAAAATCGTCTCATTGAAGCAATTGGGGATCCTTAACCCTTTTTGGTGTCAAGAAGAGTTTTAATATTCAGAAAAATCTTTAAATTCACTGTGGTCTGGTTTTAGGAAAGATTGAAAAGATTTTTAATTATTTACTGTTCTTTCGAAATGTTGCAGGTCCAATTCAGTCTCCTTTCTATTTTTTGTTATTGTTATTACTCAGCATATATCCATTCTCAAGGTGGTAGTTACTTTGCTGTGATGTCTCCAGAAAAAGTCTCATTTAAATTGATGAAATAGACAGAAGGAAGGGTAATAAAGATAGGTGCTCTATATAAGATTGTACTAAAAAAGAAAAAAAAAACAAACAAATCCAAAGATCTGCGTCATGTAGATTACTTTGTCATATCCTAAAGCTTATTATTTAAAAAACCCAGTTACATTGATGACAAAAAGGCTATTTGACTTACGGAAATAGCCAATTTTAGCTTGAATCTTGTTAGAATTTTTAAGGCACTTCATAATAAGTCTTTTTTTTTTTTTTGAAGCGGCTGTTGTTACCTTTGCTAACACGGAAATAGTGGCAAACACAATGTAAAATAGTGGATATTGTAATCATTTTAACTTTGAGATCTGTTTACTACTTGTGATTTGAATGAGGATGATCTTCATAGTGGTAGTTTTATTTAAACAAATAAGATGATTCCTCTTTCACGTAGAAAGAAAGCTGTATTGTTTGCTTGAGAGATTTGATTAGAATCTTCCTTCCCATATGTCTTAGTTCATTTTGTGCTGCTATAACAGAATACCTGAGGCTGGGTAATTTATAATGAACAGACATTTATTTGGCTCACCATTCTGGAAGCTGGGAAGTCTAAAAGGCGGGGCCGCATCTGGTCAGAGCCTTTTTGCTGCATTATAATGTGGTGAAAGACATTACATGGAGAGAGAGCATGCATGAGAGAGTGAGCAAGAGAGAGCCAAACTTGCATTTATGGCAAACCCACTCTTGAGATAGCAGACTTGTTCCTGAGATGATGAATCCAATAATGCCATTAATAAATTTATGAGGGCATTTCCCTTATGACCTAATTACATGTTAAAGGTTCTACTTGTCAACATTGTTGCATTAGGGTTGGCATTTCCAACACATGGACTTTGGGGGATACATTCAAACCATAGCATTGTAGTTTCTGATTTTATAGTTGTAGTAAGAAATTAGTAGGAGAAAAATAAATGGTAAAGAAACTAGCCATTGTCAGGGAATTAGTGCATTTTGGATATAGAAGTTGGGGGACTCAGTTTTTCCATACTAAGAATTACTTTTCGTGTTTCTCCTTGTGATACCCAGTTGTATCTATTAAGCAAAATAGAAGACTCTTTTAACCAGTTAAGTGATAACTTTGCTTTTTTTCTTTGATTCCTGAAGAAATGGCAGGTAACCATAGCTTCTTTTCTCTTATATAAATAATAATTATGGTACTTATAAGAGTTAGATTTATTAGTCTAAGTTTATGCTTAAATTGTTTTGATACCAAAATTCTGAATCATATTTAATTGTATTTTTGTCATAATTTTGAGTTACAACATTATTATATTGTATTCTTTTTTAATTTAATTATATTCTTTTAAAATGTTTTAGGTACACACAAATCCATGTTTTTATCAGTCTTCAGAGAAGAGTCAGCTCATACCATTGAAGACAAATCTATGGTGCTATTTGAATCCTGGAGATAGTTTTTCTTTGTTAGTTGACAGATACATTTTCCGCATTCTCTCTATATCCTCTGAAGTGGAAATGGAATGTACCTTAAGGTAAGTGCTTGCTGAAATGAGAGTAAGGATGCTATTTTTAATCTAATTCCTCAGACCTCACAAATCCTTTGGTAGGAACCAGCAGAAACCATTAAACTCAATTGGAGATAGAGTAGATGTGTAATGTGTGTGCGTGCATGTGTGTGTTTTGTGCACATGCACATGTGTATCTGTTTCTAGAAAACATTTGACTTTGAAACTTAACTATGCCTTGATAGCAGTTGCTCCCATATGTGGTGTCTTTTACCATTGTATTCAGAATGTATTTTCCATCTAACAGTGTTCAGTTAGTTAATTTGAACTTGACTACCTTTTCCTCGTTTTTTTAGCTTTTTAAATTTTATTAAGGTATTAATTTCTGACTTACATTACACTTGTATAACTCCTCTTTCTTATAAAAATAGAAAATATAGAACAGGGAAACTGAGGTCATGAGGTATTAGAATAAATATACTGATATCTGGCTTACAGTTAAAATTCAGGTTTTTTTAGTCAGTCTTAGAAGATTATTTGACTTCGTTTCTGCTTTTAAATTATAGAATGCATAAACTAGACTTATAGAAGTAGATGGACAGAATTATGCAGAGTATGTTCTCTGATTGCCATGGTATTAAGTCAGTAAATCATTAACAATAAAATAGATATACAAATCTACAAATACTTTGAAATTAAATAAAACACTTCTAAATTACCTTTGGGTCAAGGAGAAGTCATAGGGAAATTAGAAAACATTTTAAACAGAGTGATACTGAAAACAGCATAAAATATTGTGAGATGCAAGTAAATTAGTCCTTAGGGGGAAGTTTATAGTTGAATGCCTGTATTAGAAGAGAAGAAAGCTACAAAACCAGTGATCTGTGCTTCTACTTTAGGAGGTTAGACAAAAAAACTAATTAATCCCAAAGAAAATAGGGGAAAAAAAAGAAAATTAAAGCTAGAAGTCAATGAAATAAAAAATAGATGAAATGAAAATCTGTAAAGCTCTAGGGTGGTTTGGTAAAAGCAGCCTTTACTACAGTAAAGTAAGTACTTTACTTATTAAGGCTTACCAAGAAAAAAGGGAGAAAACATGAATTATCAATATCAACAGTAGAAGAGGGAATATATCATTACTGATACTACAGACCTTAGAAGAAAAATAAGAAAATATTATGTAAAACTTTATGCCAATAAATTTGGCAGTTAAAATAAATGGGCATATTTCTTAAAAAAAACTGATTCAGGAAAAAATAGAAATTTGATGAATTCCTTATCCATTTAAAAAATTGAATTCACAATTTAAGGATTTCCCACAAGGATCTTCACTAATGAATTCTGTTAAAATTACAAGGAAGAAATAAATGCCAATATTATTCCTTTTTCTCAAAAATAGAAGAGGATATACTTCCTAACTCATTTTATGAAGTTTCTATAATTCAGATACTAAAATCAGACAATAATTTACAAAAAAAAAAATCCCCAAACTACAGACCGATATTCTTTATAGCAAAGTATTTACAAATCAAGTGAAAAGGATAATACTCTATTACAAAGTGGGGCTTGTTCAAGGAATATGAGGTTAGTTTATCATATAAAAGTCAAAGCAATTCAGCATAACAGACTAAAGAACTATCATTTTAATAGATGTTCAAAAATAATTTTGACAAAATTCAACACCTGTTCATGATTTTTAAAATTTTTGTGAAACAAGGAAAAGAAGGAAACCTTTATTCCTACAAAAAAACCTGTTAGTGAAATGTTGAAAGTTCTCTCCCTAAGATTGGGACTACAACAAAGATAATATATATCAGATTTGAAAGGAAGGAGTAAAACTGTATTTGTTTGGAGATGACATGATTGTATATTTAGAAAATCCTGGGAATCTATCAAAAAGAAAAGCCAGTCACAAACAGTATCTATTATATTATTACATTTATATTAAATTCTGTAATAAGTAAACTAATCTGTTAAATAGAAATTTAATCAATGGTTATTTCCAAGGGGATTGACTAGAAGAAGCTACAAGGGAGCTTTTTGTTTGGCTTTGTTTCAGCTTTTAAACAAATATGGACTTATTCTGTGTCTTGTTAAGGGTGCAGATTATGTGGGTGTATGCATTTGTCAAAACTAATCAAATTTCACGCTTCAGATATGTGCCTTTTGTATATAAATTACATCTAAAAATGCTTAAATGCAAGTGGAAAAAAAAGGAAATTGCATTTTAGTTAAATGAAATTCCTTAACTATTGCTTACTACTCTATTTATTTATTTATTTATTTATTTATTTATTTATTTATTTAGAGATGTAGTCTCACTCTGTTGCCAAGGCTGGAGTGCAGTGGCAGGATCTTGGCTCACCGCAACCTCCGCTTCCTGGATTCAAGTGATTCTCCTGCCTCAGCCTCCTAAGTAGCTGGGACCACAGGTGTGTGTCACCACACCCAGCTAAATTTTGTATTTTTAGTAGAGACCGGGTGTTACCATATTGGCCAGGCTGACCATGAACTCCTGACCTTGTGATCTGCCTGCCTTGGCCTCCCAAATGCTTACTACTTTAAAGTTCTAGTCTTTTTCTCATATCATACATGTATGAAGCATGCTGTTTTAAAATAGCTGTCAAAATGAGACATGTAAAGAACTGATTTTTTTGTTACAATAAACTTTCATAATAGAATTATATACTTTTTTCAAAAATTAGGAAGATATACATCCTTATGAAACAAAGTATGGTCATTGCCTGATAACTTATTTAAAGTATTAGATATTGATGATGGTTGCACAACTCTGTTAACATTACTAATAATCACTGGATAGTACACTTGAACAGAATGAATTTATCGTTATATGGATTATTTTTCAATAAAGCTATTATAAATAAAGATAATTACCCTTTCTAGACCACATTTAACTTTCCAAGTTTTAATTTTTTATTTTAAATATCCTGTAATAAGGCTTTATAAATCATGTGATAGTTGATTGTTCCTAGAAGTATTTGAACATAAAATAAAAATATGTATCACAGTGACAGCATTTGATATTTAAATAAAGGTATAACAGAACAATTCGTACTTGTACTTTTTTTGAACAAAATGTTAAATAGAATTTTGTTCTGAGGTTGTTATTACATTTATTCGGGATAACTGTTAGCAAAAGTTACATATAGATTATAGAGTGTGTATGAATTCATCTCAGACTTGTGCCGGAATAGAAAATAAACTAGAAACGGAATTGATGATGTTACTTAATTCCTATCACTTGTGAAAAATTATCACACTACTGTTAAATGTTTCTTAATATTTTCCATGTTAAATATTAAGAAAACTTGAGAAAAAAATTATAATTTGGAAGTACACCTGTAACTTATGAGTAAAATGGATCTGGTATTATAGTGGAGTGAACTTTTATAGATTTGACAATCATATTTCCAAGAATTTGTCTCCAGCACCTGGCACAGTGTGTGACACACAGTAGAAGTTTTAAAAATATTGATTGAATGAACAAAAAATGTAATGCTGCATAGTGATTTACTCTAAGTAAATTTTCTCTTTTGCCTGATTCCTGCCATTGAAATTCAAGGCTGCCTTTGAAGGAAATTATTCATTGTATAAGAAATACTAAAACAAACAAATAAAACAAGTGGTTAATTAGATTCCTCTCAGCTAGACGCATTTCTAAAATCTTATATCTTAGTTTTTAAAAATTCACATGTAATGAGGACAATTTACACACAGTGGAATTCATCCCTTTTAAATGTGCAATTCATTGCACTAAAAATGATAATATAGTCATTTAAAATACTACCAGAGTGAGATATAGAACATTTCCATTTCCCCACATATTCTCTCATGGCTCTCTGTAGTGTGTCCCTTCATTCCACTAAAAATCCCTGGCAACCATTAATATGGTTTCTGTCCTTGTAGCTTTGCATTTCAGGATGTTATATAAATGGAGTAATACAATATGCCTTTTGTGTCTGGCTTCTTTCACTTAGCAAAATGCCTTTGGGATTCATCTGTATTCATACACACATCAATATGAACTATATCAATAGTTCATTCCTTGTTATTTCTGAGTATTAGTTCGTCTATAGTTTCAAATGTTCAAAAAGGCAAATTTGTTGGATCATGTACATGCATACATAAGTAATAATGACCCAACAACTTTGGATGACCTTACTGCATATTGCAGAGAGTATGAGGTTATTGGTTCTGCTAGTATGTCCCACATGTGACCATGGATGTTCCTGTGCCAGAACATTTAGCTTGCAGCTATACTGCAGTTTGGGGATATTTCATAAGCAGCTCTATTAATACTTGCCTGAACTTCGGTAGCAGCTATGTGTCAACTGAAACTCAGGATTTTATTTATTTTTTCTCTAACAGTCTGACTAGCTTAACTGACACCATTGCAGTTTACATGATCTCTCTGGAGGCTGGGTGATGGTCTTAATTTTTATGAACTATCTGCACAAATATTAAATAAAGAGCTTGTAAGCCTTGAGAGAGAAGGCTGCCACACATCTCATAAATAATTGGGGTTTCTAGGCCCTTGATTTTGAAAGATTTATGTATTTTGTGGCTAGCAGGTAGGAAATAAAGAACATATTGTAGTCTATATATTTTATTCTAGTATACTATAATCTGCTTTTTTTTTGTTTTTGCTAAGTCTGAGAAAAGGGATATAACTCAGATGTAGTCTGAAGGCAGCAGAAATGTATTATGTTTAAAATTTAAGACAAGTTTCTATTTTATCTTATAGAAATAGTCAAATGCTTGATGAAGATAATGTATTGAATGAAACGCCAAAATCCTCCGTTATTAATTTACCTCATGAGACTACTGGTGCCTCACAACCAGAAGGAAGTGCAGAAATAGCCAAGACCCAAATGACTACTACAAATAGTGTGGTGAGAAATTTGAGATCTCATCCATTGATAACATGTTCTTCAAGTTATTATAAAGGCAGAAAAGACAACTGAAATTAGGTTTATTATGACAGTATTGCTAGCATTTATCAACTTTTGCTGATTTTAAGCTAAGCTCTAGAGAATATGGCAGTAGTCAACATTTAATAGAAATAATTAATTTATTTAAGAAATTTGATGAACTCAGTATACAGTTGCATATGAGTATTTTAATGGTAGAATTCGGCAAAGCAAATATTTTATAAATTCATTAAGGATGTATGATTATTTTTAGTAATTAATAGGTGTCTTTTTAGTCTTTCCTAGGTGAATGCAGAGACTTCAGTAAGCAGCAGCCAATCCTTGCCGAGAGGAAAAGAATCCTTCCAGCTTGGATGTTAGAACATTTAAGTGATCAAAACCTTTCAGTACCAGCAATCGGTGGAGGTAGGTTTTTGTTTCTACTAATGCTGACTTTCCAAGAAAACATTAAACAGAATTTGAAAGTTTTTCTGAAGAAAATCTATGAACTGTCTCTATATAGATAGAGTTGTGTAAGTGTATAGCTTAGCCTAGTTTTTTTTAGAAGTGAACATGAAGTCTAATTGAAAACATAGGCTATTGCCATTTATCAAATATCATTTATACCATTTATCAAAACACTTGTTTTCATTTAACAAGCACTATTATGTGCTAGAATTATATTAATAAAGACTTTCAAAGAAACCTCTTGGTTCTATATCTAGGATAAAAGGCCAGCACAATAAGAATGTTTAAAATTAATGTTTAAAAATGCCAGATGAATTGATATACCTTCAAGTTTACTGATTGTTTTTTCTGCCATCTCCAATTTACTCTTAAGTCTATCTGGCAAATTATTTATTTTAGCTACTGTACTTTTGAGTTCTAAAATTCCTATTCAGTTCTTTTTTTTAGTTTGTTTCTCTGATAAGATTCCCCATTTATTCAATCTTTTGTATATTTTTCTGTAAGTCTTTTATCATATTTATAATAGCTGTATTAAAGTCTGCATTTGCGTACAACTTTGTCATTTCAGACTTATTTTTTATTGACCGCTTGTTTTTTATAGGGGTCACATTTTCCTATGTATTCTGTGCTTAGTGGTTTTCTATCGATATTGGATATTGTGGATGATACATTGCTCTTGATTATGTTATATTCCTCAGAAGAAGTGTTTTTGTTGTAATAGCAGTTAATTTGGCTGGATTCAGAGTCTACACTGTTTCACCTGTTATGGATGACAGGTGCAGTCTCTATGTAGTTCTTTTACTTCCTAGCTGCTGCATTTTTCCCTGAGTCCCTGGGGTTGGCCCGATGCAAATGTAGTCTAGCAGTCAACCAAGAATTTGGGTCAAGTTTATAGGTAGGTTTTTGCTCTTGCCCCTTCTGAGGCTGCCTTCCATCCAGGATTTTATCCCTCACCCCTCTCTCTCTCTTCTAGCCTTAAAACTCTCTGCTCTGACCATTTAAACCAGTAAGGTTACAGCTTTCTGCCACAAGTGAATTGGAGAATGCCCTCAGGAAAAAGTCACAAGTTCACAAACCTCATAGGTTATAGTTAATTTCAACGTTGACACTTCTTCAACTCTGCCTCTTTGGTCAATCTCCAGTGCCTACAGATAGTTTAAAAAATATTTTATCCTGAATTTATAATGATTTTATTTGCAGTAATTAGTTTAGTTATGGTATTTTGCCGTTTTACCTTAAACATTATTTAAAAAAAATTAACAGCACAAACGAATACACATTTTAGTTCAAAAGTTATACTCTTGGTGCTTTGTGTATTTTGCATAGTGGTCATAGAAGTCTTCTAAAGTTTTGGATTAAATATATTATGCACATAATTTATTTTATTTAATGCTAGTTTGGATTATATTAGGATCAAAGTGTTCTCATGGGAAAAGTATAGTATACATTATGTGTTAAAGGGGACGTGGTTTAATCTGGAGAATTTTCCAATCTAAGCCTAAGAATTTTGCAGTAAGTTTTATCTAGAACAGTTGTTTTCGGTTCTCCCCACCCCCACAATTCATGTCATATATATATATATATATATACATATATATATATATATATATATATATATATATATATATAAAACATCTCTGACTGTATGTGTTGATCCTCAATTTGTATGAAGGATATGGGGAATGGTAGTGGGGAGGTGCAGGCACTTTCCCTCAGTAGAACAATTTCTCTGATAAAAGAAAGATGACCAAAAATTGGACCAATGTGACCTGGTCTTTGCAAACAACTCCTTTTCTTTCAGAGTTGTTTTATACTGCAACTGCTTCTGTGCTACCATTTATAATAGTTCAACGTGTATTTTGTTTCAAATACATTTTCTTTCACTTGTTAGATGTTCCATATAAAATATGAAGCACATTTTTGGGCTCTTCACTTTGAAAATACATATGAGAGTAATTTGACGTTGGTCTGGAATACTGCATGTGTACAATGTACTTAAAATGCTAAAGCTTCAAAATAAGATAGAAAAGTCTTTGGATTCAGGTAATCTTTTTATAAACTAAGACTGTGGGAGAAATATGGTATAAGAGGAAGATTAGGTTACCTAATTCCTTTAAAGACAGTTTAGTATTTTAAAACAGTTTAGTACCTGAATCCTGCTAATTAAAAGTTAAAACAATTAGACTTCTTCTATGGTGCTGTTACTTTTTTTAAAAAAATATTTTGTTTGTTTAATAAATGATGGAGATCAATAGACCAATGTGAGAGATTTTAAAAAATCAATTTGCAGGATGCATTGCGGCTTGTTCAGATATGGTTAACTTTCATATGTCTTTTGCAGCTTTGGGACTATAGCTGTGGTTATTGGTCTTTATGTAGATTATCTGAAACTAACTTGATTTTTGGAACCTTTGGAATCATTAGAAACAGAACAAATAGCATTAATTGATGTTATTTGACTTATTCAAGAGCATATAATAAATGCCAGAGCTGTAATTGAGACTCAGCTCTGACTAACTTTAAAGCCTGTGTCCTAAGGCGTATCATTGTACAGCCACCTAAATTTACTCTTTATATGTTTGGTTTTTGTTTGTTTGCCTTTTTTGATATGCCCTTGCAATCTCTCCTGGATGGTCTCTCAGTTTAACTCTTTGTTTAATCCTTTATATGTAGGGGAATTTTTGCTGTTCTGAGGCTTTTTCATTTTTTCAGCCAATACAGTTTTTTATTGTTATCACCATCATTACTATGTTTGTTTTATTATTATTATTTTATTTCAGTAGGTTTCTGTGAAACACGTGGTGTTTGGTTACATGGATAACTTCTTTGGTGATGATTTCTAAGATTTTGGTGCACCTACTGCCTGAGCAGTGTACATTGTACCCAACGTATAGTTTTTTATTCCTCACTCCCTGACCTTTGCTCCCAGGTTCCCAAAGGCCATTGTGTTATTCTCATGCCCTTGCATCCTCATAGCTTAGCTCCCACTTATAAATGAGAACATACAATATTTGGTTTTCCATTCCTGAGTTACTTCACTTAGAATAATGGTCTCCAATTCCATCCAGGTTCCTGCAACTGCCATTATTTCATTCCTTTTTGTGGCTGAGTAGTATTCCATGATGTGTGTACCATGGGGTGTGTGTATTCCATGGTGTGTATACACACACACAGATTAAATATATTTTATATATATCAGTTTCTTTACTCATTGATTGGCATTTGGGCTGGCTCCATATTTTTACAATTGTGAATTGTGCTTTTATAAACATGTGTCCAGGTGTTTTTTTCATAAAATGACTTCTTTTCTTCTGGGTATATCCCCAGTAGTGGGATTGCTGGATCAAATGGTAGATCTACTTTTAGCTGTTTAAGGACTCTCCACGCAGTGTTCTGTAAAGGTTTTGGTAGTTTACATTCCCACCAGCAGTGTAAAAATGTTCCCTTTTCACCACAGCCATACCAACATCTATTATTTTTTTGATTTTTAAATTATGACCATTCTTGCAGGAGTAAGGTGTCATCGCATTGTGGTTTTGATTTGCATTTCCCTGATAATTAGTGATGTTGAGCATTTATTTTTGTATGTTTGTTGCCCATTTGTCTATCTTCTTTTGAGAATTTAGCTTACTTCTTGATGGAATTTTTTTTTTCTTGCTGATTTGTTTTTTCTTGTAGATTCTGGATATTAGTCCTTTGTTAGATGCTTAGTTTGTGAAGATTTTCTCCCATTCTGTGGGTTATCTGTTTACACTGCTGATTATCTCTTTTACTGAGCAGGAGATTTTTAGTTTAATTAAGTTTCATCTATTTATCTTTGTTTTTATTGCATTTTGCTTTTGAGTTCTTGGTCATGAAGTCTTTGCCTAAGCCAATGCCCAGAAATTTTCTGATATTCTAGAATTTTTATGGTATGAGGTCTTAGATTTAAGTCTTTAATCCATATTGAGCTGATTTTTGTATAAGGTGAGAGATGAGGATCCAGTTTCATTCTTTTACATGTGGCTTGCCAATTAATTATCCCAGCACCATTTGTTGAATAGGGTGTCTTTTCTCCACTTTGTATTTCTATCTGCTTTGTTGAAAATCAGTTGGCTATAATTATTTGGCTTTATTTTTGGGTTATCTATTCTGTTCCGTTGGTCTATGTGCCTGCTTTTGTACCCGTACCATACTATTTTACTGGCTGTAGCCTTGTAGTATAGTTTGAAGTCAGGTAATGTGATTCCTCCAGATTTGTTCTTTTTGCTTCGTGTTGCTTTGGCTAGACTTGCTTTGGGCTATCTTTTGGTTTCACATGAATTTTGCGATTGTTTTTTCTAGTTCTGTGAAGAATGATGATAGTATTTTGATGAGAATTTCATTGAATTTGTAGATTACTTTTGGCAGTATGGTCATTTTCACAATATTGATTCTACCGTTCCATGAGCATGGGATATGTTTCCATTTGTTTGTGTCATTTGTGATTTCTTTTAGCAGTGTTTTATAGGTTTCCTTGTAGAGGTATTTTACCTCCTTGGTTAAGTATATTCCTAACTTTTGCTTTGCTTTTTTATTTTTATTTTGCAACTATTGTAAAAGGGGTTGAGTTCTTGATTTGATTCTCAAGAACTGTTGGTGCATAGCAGTACTAAGGATTTGTGCACACTGGTTTTGTATCCTGAAACTTTACTGAATTTATCAGTTCTAGGAGCTTTTTGCATGTGTCTCTAGAGTTTTCTAGATATACGATCATATCATCAGAAAACAATGACAGTTTGACTCATTGACTCTTCACTGATTTGGGTGCACTTTATTTTTTCTCTTGTCTGGTTGCTCTGGCTAGGATTTCCAGTGCTATGTTGAATGGAAGTGTTGAAAGTGGACAGCCAATATAGTTCTAATTTATTTTATTTTTTATGTCTCAGGTACTAGCACTTGGATGTTGTCATGAGTTTCTCAGGCCTGGGCTAAATTTTTTTACATGTCCTTAGTGATTGAGAACTAAATATATTTAGGGAAAGGCTTTCAGAACCTCCCTTTTCTTGAACTCCATTTATCTCTGTTCCTTCAGCCTTCCAGGCTGCAGACTAATCATAACTCTTGGGTTAGGATACTCTTGGTAGATTGAAAAAGGAGCTTTTATATCTTCAGTGGTATCATGCTATTCCATAGAGCTCTTCTTCCTCCATCTTCTAAGCTTCCAACATGAAGTTGTAAAACGTGGCACATGCCGGGGAAGATTGAGCTGGTCTTCATACTTTTTGGTTTGCATTTAATTTTATACTGTGAATATTTTCAGTATGGCAATTTGATGCAGATTATAAATATTGAGCTAGCATTATTTTAATTGGACTACAGTTCAAAATGCACTTACATTTATGTAAAGTGCTAGTTATTCTGTTTACTTTGTTTCCAGCAACTTTGCCAAGTTACCTAATTTTAATAGTTTTTGAACCTCTTATTTTCTAGCTGTATAATCATATTATCTATAGAATTAGGATAATTTTTGCTCTTCTGATCTACCTACTGCTTTCTTTTCTTGTCTTAGCTTAACCCTATAAACCTTTAAAAATGCTTAAAATTGGTCTGTTCTTGTTCCTGATTTTAATAGAAATTCTATTAGTATTTTGGCATTTTATATGGTTGGTAATAGATTCTGATGAATAGTCATCTCATGTTTAGTATGGTTCATTTTATTTTTACTGTTTTTTTCAGGAATAACTGTTGAATTATTTTTAAAATGTTATGGTATAGAAATAGTTCTGCATTTTCATGTGTTAATGTAATTAATGATATTAGTAAATATCCTAATATAATATACTATGCTAGTGTTCCTGGAATAAGTTCAGTCTTATGATAACTTATTATTTTTATACTCTGTTAGATTAAATTTGCTAATGTTTGATTTAGGATATCTCTATTTATAGTTATGGTTAGTCTGTATTTTTCTTTATGTATGCCTTCTATGTGCGATTTTATTGTTAGAGCACTGAATTGAGAGGTTTTCCATATATAGTCAGGGACAATTTGAATAATTGAAAAATTATGTTTCTTCATGGAACTCTCCTGATCTGGCCCTGATGCCTGTTTTTAGTAGTTGATAATTCTGGCAGAGGAATAGGTAAGTTAGTTAGACCAGTTTAAAAAAAAAAAAAAAGAATGAAACATCCAGAAACAGATTTTAAAAACATACATTTAACATATGAATACATATCAGTTCAAACTGATAGAGAAAAGATACATTATTCAACAAATGACATTGAGAAAATTGACTCTCCATTTGGAAGAAAATAGTGTTAAAGTACTACTTTATACTACATTCAGAAACAAATTTCTATTGAATTAATAGTCTTAATATAAAAATTAAAACAATTAAGGCATTTGAAGAAAGTATGGGAAAAATATTTTGATTACTTCTGTAGACTTTCTTAAGATCATAGAGAGCCTGAAATCCTAAGGGAAAACCTGATAGATTTACCTAAATAAAAAGGAAAAATACTTATATGCAAAAGACACTATAAATAAAGTCAGAGGTAAATAACAGACTGGTAAATGATATACCGAGATATTTGTACCACATTTATAAAAGAAGGTTTTTAAAACATTGTCTATTTAGTAACAAAAATGGTAAAACTCAGTGGAAATTTTGGATATTATATATGACATACTACAGAAGAATAAATACAAATAGTAAATATATGACTTTATGATCAAGTAGGAAAATGTAAATTGAAAACAACTCGTTACTATTTTTTGTTCATTAACTCATCAACATTTAAGCAACTGATAATATCCAGTGTTGGCAGAAAGGAGTATTATCAAACATTACTTGTGGAGGTATAAATTAGTATAACCTTTCAAAGTCACTTGTAGTATCTCTTAAATTTTTACATATACAATACACTTTGATCCAGAAATTGCAATCCTAGGTATTTAAACCACAGAAATAATAACATTTGTACTTTTAGTTCTGTATATGTTTATGTATATGTATTTGTAGATGTATTTGCTTAAACACAGGAAAAAATTGAGAAGTATATACATGTCATAGTTAATATAGCTGGTTGGGAGTAGTTCCTCTAGAGGGTGAGATTGTATGGATATATTTTTAATGATACATATATATAATTGAGCTATTGTTCATGTAGTATTAGTATAACAGCTCATGTAAGTGCCATTATTAATAGTTAAAATTAAGCTGTTTTGTATTAATAGTTAATTTCTTTTATATTTCTATTATTTAACTGTACCTATTTTAGATTTCAGAAGAATATTTGTCATACCAGATATAAAGACTGTTTTGAGCCATTTTAAGCTTTTCATTTTTTATATACTCTTTGTGAAGAGTATTTTAATAATATCAAAATGGCTTCTTATGCAAAAAAAAAAAAAAAACCAAAAATTAGCCCTAGTCCCTAGAGGGGGTTTGTAGTAAAGAATTTGGAGTTTTGAGTATTTAAAATATATATATTTTTAATTTTAGAATTTTGGGTACATGTGTGACACTTGGAATATATAGACTACCATTTGAGTAGAAGCTGTGTCTTGTTTAATTTACTATAGTTCTTAGCATAATCAGCAATAGCATTAGTTCAATATTTCACTTGGTTTAATTCATAACTGTTACAGCATTTGGTCATTTGGTATACCAAGCTACACAGACCTATTAAGTCATGTTTATGACAGTTTCCAGAAATGATATGAAATATTTCCTAATTTAGATTCATGATGAATATTTAAATAATTTAGCTAAAGTTTAGTTTTTAGAATAGTTTATTCACAAGTTTCCTTTGATAAATATGTTATTTTTTACATTGATTCAATTGATATTACTATTTGATAATAAGGACAGCATTCCATTGGCAGTTCTTTCCTCAACTTAAAGTTAAATAACTTAAATGTTATTTCAGGCTACTTGAATGTCTTTTAGAATTGGACTAAGCAAACTACAACCCATGTGCCAAATTTGACCCACTGCCTGTTTTTTTTTTTTTTGAGACAGAGTTTCGCTCTTGTTACCCAGGCTGGAGAGCAATGGCGCGATCTTGGCTCACTGCAACCTCCTCCTCCTGGGTTCAGGCAATTCTCTTGCCTCAGCCTCCTGAGTAGCTGGGATTACAGGCACGCACCACCATGCCCAGCTAATTTTTTGTATTTTTAGTAGAGACGGGATTTCACCATGTTGACCGGGATGGTCTCGATCTCTTGACCTCGTGATCCACCCGCCTCGGCCTCCCAAAGTGCTAGGATTACAGGCTTGAGCCACCGCGCCCAGCCGCCTGTTTTTATAAATGAAGTTTTAGTGGAACATGGCCATGGTCAGCCATAAATGTGTTGTCTGTGACTGCTTTCATGTTACAAGGGCAGAGTTGGGTGGTAGTGACAGACACGGTATGGCCCACAGAGCTTAATATATTTACTCTCTGGCTTTTTACAGAATATGTCTGCTAATCCCTGCTTTAGAATATTGGAATAATGGCTACATATTGCTTTACATACCTATATCCTGGCTTTTAAGAGAATCTTTGGACAAATTGTTATGTTCAGAATTAATTTAGTCAGAAATATTTATTAAACACCAGTTTTGTGCTAGGCACAGTTGCACATACTAGAGACACAAGGGAGGAACAGTGAACAAGGCATGTAAAGTTTTTGCCTTCATGAAGACATCACTCTCAAGTAGAGGAGAAGGACCATTTGTCATGGACAATTGTGAATTTGTTAACAAAATATGATAATGACTTAGGTTTGCCAACTGCATTATACTTTGGCTAAGTATTTTATGGGATACAATGTCCATTGTTATTGAGATTTATTTACTTCATGGGCAAAGTTGGTAGAAATCACTCTCCTGTTTGGGTTATGCTGGGTTTGCCTGTAATCCCAGCACTTTGGGAGGCCTAGATGGGCAGATCACCTGAGGTCGGGAGTTCGAGACTAGCCTGGCTAATGTGGTGAAACCTCATCTCTATTAAAAATACAAAATTCAGCTAGGTGTGGTGGTGTGCACCTGTAATCCTGGCTACTTGGGAGGCTGAGGCAAGAGAATTGCTTGAACCCAGGAGGCAAAGGTTGCAGTGAGCCAAGATTGTACCAATGCACTCCAGCCTGGGTGACAGAGCAAGACTCCATGTCATAAAAAAAAAAAATGAGCTTAATTCCTCACTGTGGGTGTTGGGGTTTAATAAGTATATGTAAAGCTCATTGGATAGCTGTGAGTCAGATTTTCTATCAGAGAAATTCAATTCTACAATTATAAAAATAACGTGTATCAGGTACTCTGCTAGTTTATATATTTTACTTCATTTACTTCTCTTAATATTTCCATGAATCATAATTCCCATTATCCATGTTATGAAACCAAAGTTGAGAAAGGTAAGATAAAATAGTTAAAGGATGGAGCCCCCATTGGCATCTCAGCCTGGTAGAATCCAGGGCTGGAGTCCTTGGCCATTTTGCTGCATAATACTTTCTGAGATTTCTACATAAGTGTTTTAAGTTGGCATTACTGTAAATGGAACTTTAATTTTATTTGGCCTTTTATCCTTTTTCTCCTCCCCCCACTTTTTTTTTTTTTTTTTTTTTTTTTTGACAGAGGCTCACTCTTGTTGCCCAGGCTGGAGTGCAGTGGCACGATCTCAGCTCACTGCAACCTCCACCTCTGGAGTTTAAGTGATTCTCATGCCTCTGCCTCCTGAGAATTTGGGATTACAGGTGCACGCCACCACACCCGGCTATCTCTTGTATTTTTAGTAGAGACCAGGTTTCACCATGTTGGCCAGGCTGGTCTCGAATCCTTTTTCTTTTTTTAATATGGATTATTGACATTTGAAAATACAGAAGATAATTTTCTTCTTCTTTTTCTTTATGTGTGTTTAAGGTAATGTAACTCAGGGAAGTGGAAAAGAAGAAGTCTGCAAAGATAACACCCAAGCAAACATAACACAGCAAGGAAGAAGGCAATTAATTTCTGCAGGAAGTTCAGAAAATACATCAGCAGAACAAGACACAGGAGAAAAGTGCAAAAATGCTGATACGGAAGAGTCTGTCATTTCAACCAAGGTGATTTTTAAAAATTCATTATTTGGTTGTTTCTTCGTTAGGTATTTTAGATAGAAATTAGTTATATGTGGTACAAGGAGAAGCCAAAACTGCCTTTTTTTGTTGAGTCTATGAAGACAAAAACTGGCCCAATTTTTTCAGACTTAACTGAAGTGAATCTTTAATATAGTGTTTGTTTGCTTTGTAGAAAATAAAACCATGACATTCAGGAATTTTCAGACTGGGAAAAAAAAGTGGAGACCACTTGACTTTGGTCATAATTTGGCACCTCCATTGTGAAACCTGGCTTCTCTTATTCCATTGGTTGTTCTCAGATTGCATTTAGCCACCATTTTCTTGCGGAGTGTGATGAGAAAAACGAATGATGGGATCGTTCTTAATTACCTATTGCAGGATCACTTCTGGGCAGATTCACAGTATTTCTAGGCCTTCTTTCCTCTTTCAGTTTTTTGCTAACTTGCTAGAATTGTTTGACTGAAATATGCATTCTGTAACACTGGGTACTTAAAGAAAATGAGGACTGTTTATTAGAAGTACTTAAAAAAAGAGAGAAAGATAGAGATGGCCCCTGGACAGAAAGTTCAGGCATGCTTCCTCTCTAGTGAGAGGTGGCTTATGATGACAGTCTTCATGATCCTTGTAGTCTTGTGGGTGAGCTCTGTGGATGGATCCCTGTTTTAGTCTCAGGGAAAACCAAAGGAAGAGGAACCAGCTTCTCACTGGAGTCTGTCTTCCAGCTAGAGAAGTGGGACCTGGTCACTATACACTCAATTCCTTTGCTTTACTTATGGAGGCAAGCTTAATAAATGAAAACAAAATGTTTTCTGGCTCACATATATTTGCCATAAAACTTATTAAATTTTTTTTGTAGAAACACTGAGCCCTCATATACTCTATTCTCTGAACTCTGAACATGACAATTGACGTTGCCTTTTTTTCAAGAGAAATTATTGTATTCATAAGAAAATCTATAGTATACGTGTTTTCCTGTATTTATCCCAACCCATAAAGTTTGGTAATCACAAGAAAAACTTTGAGAAACATCTTAATTGATAGATTATGGAGAGGAGCAGATTTAAAATATTCAAGGTATTGTGAGGTTTTGTTGACATCAGGGGAGTATTACAGCCAGGTCCCCAAAATGCCCAAGTTCTATTTGGCCAATTGCTTTTTCTTTCCTTCCTTCTGAGGGAGATTTACCTCTTCTAGCATAGGAAAAATAAGGCTTACTTTTTCATGATCCTTTATGCAGGTAAAGCTGAGGCAGAGAACATGACTTAAACTGAAGATCCCAGCAGGGCCTTTGCAGACCCCACCCTCCATCCCTGACTAGTTTGAGTCTGAACACTGAACCTTTAGAACAGCTAGTCCTCAAGAGATGGCTATAGTGCAGAGCAGGTGAGAGGAAACAAGAGGCTAGGCTCACCTGTCTAGTCTAATGACAGGAGGTTGCCAGCTACAAAAAAACCAGTAACAGTTTAGCCAGGCCTACATTTGGAACAATGTACTTGGAATGAATTACATTCTCTTTTGGAAAAGTAGAAGAAGCAGTGGAAAGAAGGGACAAAAATCACTTTTGCCCAAGTAGACCTTGTTTCTGAGATTCTGATTCATTTGGTGTGTGGAGCCTCTGCATCAGTGGTATCTTAAACTCTCCCAATTTTAGTGTCCCTTCAAAGTTGAGAGCTACCGATGTACCATCACTGAATGCCTCAGAGGAAACTAAGGCCCAAGTTCACATTGTTAGGAACCTTGGCTTCAAACATAGGTCTTTTCATTTTGGGTATAATGAATTTTTCTACCATATATATTAGACTATGAAAAGAGTTTTATGACTCTAGTAACTTCTCTTCATAGGACAATTTTCAGAAATAGTCTGTATTTTTCATCAGTTCTTGTATGTCTTTCTACAAAATTATGTAACTGTCTAGAAGTGAAAATGAGGGTACTTGAATTGATTTAAGTTTAGTGAAAAGGATGGTTGCCATGGTTTGAGTGTTTCTGTCTCCTCTAAAGATTTATGTTGAAACTTAATCCTCAGTGCAACAGTACTGGGAGTTGGGCCTAATGGGAGGCTGTTTAGGTTATATGCTCCATGCTCGTGAATGGATAATGCTGCTGTAAAAAGGGCTTGCAAAGCTGGATGCAGTGCCTATAGTCCCAGCTACTTGGGAAGCTGAAGCAGGAGGATTGCTTAAGCTCAGGAGTTTAAGGTCAGCCTGGGCAACATAAGGAGACCTCATCTCTGTAACAAGATGGACTTGGCTTGTAGGAGTGGGTTTATGCTTTCACTCTTCTGCCATGAATGACAGAGCATTCATCCTTTCATGACCTTCCACCTTCCCTCATGTGAGAACACAGTAAAAAGGCCCACACCAGATGCTGGTGCCTTGATCTTGGATTTTCCAGACCCCAGAACTGTGAGAGAATAAATTTCTGTTCTTTATAAATTGCCCAGTTTGTGATATTGTTATCGCAGTTACAAAACAGACTGAGACAATGTATTTCCTTTACATAATCTAATGAGAAATCTTGTAAACGATGGAAGCCTAACTGAAACAATGTAAGTGAAAGTAGTATGGTCAAGTGTTTTAGCTGTCTATTGCTGTGAAACAAGCTACCCCAACACTTAGTGGCTTAACACAACGTATTATATCAGTGATTATGATTATATTCTGTCTTATAATTGTGAGGGTTGGCTGGAATCAATCGGGCAATTCTTTTATGACACATTTTTGGTATCAGCTGGGTTTCATTCAGCTGAGAACTCAGCTGAAGATGGAGCATCTGTGATAGCTTTACTCATGTGAATGGTGCCTCAGCAAAGGTTGATGGAATGGCTGGGGGCTGGCTGGGCCCACCTCCCTCCTTGTACCATGAAGTAGCCCTGACTGAGCATCTTTACCTGACAGCTGGGCCCCCAAAAAGTGATGTCAAAGCTCTTAGGTCTTTTAAGGCCTACAACTGGAATTGTCATTTATGCTGAATTTTTTTTTTTTTTTATCATTTTTTTCTTTTGAGATGGAGTTTCGCTCTTATTACCCAGGCTGGAGTGCAATGGCATGATCTCGGCTCACCGCAACCTCCGCCTCCTGGGTTCAGGCAATTCTCCTGCCTCAGCCTCCTGAGTAGCTGGGATTACAGGCACGTGCCACCATGCCCAGCTAATTTTTTGTATTTTTAGTAGCGACGAGGTTTCACTATGTGGACCAGGAGGGTCTCGATCTCTTGACCTCGTGATCCACCCGCCTTGGCCTCCCAAAGTGCTGGGATTACAGGCTTGAGCCACCGCGCCCGTCCTGAATTCTTTTGGTCAGAGCAAGTTACCAGGCCTCAGCTAGATGGCAGTGTGAGATGAGGGTGAAGACAACAGTGCGACCAGTTTATAGAGAGGGGCCCTTGAAATGTTTTCAGTCACAGATATAATCCTGGCAGCTTGCTAGAGGAGAGATTGGAAAAGAATAAGATTAAAGACATGGAGGTAAGGGAAGAGACTGTGGAATTAACACAGTGATGAAATAGAGAATCTAAGCTAGAGCAGTGACTTTAAGGATGGTAAGAAGTATTGAATTATATAAGTATTTAGGAAGAAAATTGTGGGACTTCTTGCTTGAATCTGGGGAGAGAGGGCAAGAAGGAGTAAAAGGCTTTCTACATTTCTGTCTAGCATGAATAGATGAAATGTGTTGGCAGAAACTGTGCCAGAGAACACAGAGGCAGAATGTCAGTTTTGACATTTAGAGTTTGAGGAGCATGGAATATTGAGAAAGAAATGTGTAGCTAGTGGTCGAATGCATGAGTTTGAAGCTCAGGAGTAAAGTTGGGTCTGGAGGTTAGGAGTTTTTAGTCTTGTAGCACGTCAGTGTTAATGGAATTGATGCAGGACTTTTAAGGTAATTTATCACCACAGACATTCTTGCCAGGAGCAGTTTGGAAACAACAATAAATTACTTTATTGAATTTGTTCTAGGTGAAAGTTCTTTATCTTCTCCCTTCTAGTACATTAATACTCAGGTGGTTGAGAGGCAGGAGAAGGGCTTGTTTGATAGGTTAACTGGCTATTTTAATAACCTTAATAATACCTTCCCACCACCTCCAAACACCCAGGTCACCCTCTATCAGCTCCATGCTCTTCAGTCCCTCAGGTCTCTAACATGTATATTTATATTGTAGGGGATCTGGCTACTCTATTCTGAGTTACCAGCCTTTCACATTTAATCCTGTGCATTTTCATCTAATCTAAGAAATAAACAATGTGGGATGCTTAGGAAATACAGAGCTCTCTGCTTTTCTCCTACTTCTAAGTACAGAGCACCTCCCATCTTTCCTATTCCCTCACTTGCCAGTTCAGTGACTTACTGTAGCTCCTGAGCTTTGTAATTGGCACAGTGCAAATTTCTGTCTCAGCAAACTTACAAATTACTGCATGTAATGGATTTTTGGACCATTTATAAATAATTTAAACTATGAATGTTAAATTCTTGAATGCCAAGGGTATACTATAAATCAGTATTTCATGGAGTTCATGAAGAGCATTATGATTTCCAGCTTTTGATCCTCTTGAAATATATTTGAGAACCTCTGATCCATAGTATTGATATTTGGGACTTTAACATTTCTTTCTCTTTTAGAATAAGTTAACATATTAAACATACTCCTCGTGAGGATTAAAAAAAAAAAACCAAACTCTAATCATTCATGGAAGTTGACAGAGTTGAAATATGATACTCTACATTTCATTTCTTATATTTCATTTTGTTTTTTTTATTTTTAAATGGCAATATAATACATGTTTATCGTCAAAAATGGAAGTATCAGTAGCATTTGAAGAATGAAAACCTCCATTTGCTTTATCCTTCAATATCATTGCCTTACTAATTTTTTGGTTTATATACTTCTAACTCTTTTCATTTGGATTTACACAGTGAAGGCACACATAGATATATAAGGAATTTTTTAAAAACTAAATGGCATCACAGTATAGATATTTTTCTTGTTTAGTTAAAAACATCGTTAGATGTTTTTATTTTACTGTCTGCAGAGTGTTTCAAAATAAGAATATAATCTAATTTTTTTAACCACTTCCCTAGTTGTGCTTTTTTTTTTTTTAATGTGCTATGATATTGAATGGAATTGTTTCCCTGTTGTCCCAGAACTGCTGCTAAGGCTCAAAGCTGTGAACAGAAGTACTATTAAAGTATCCCATGTGAAGGGGCCCTCAGCAGTAAAAAATAGCCCTTTCCCTTTATGGTTTATTTAAAGGTACGAAAAGTGACCACCATCCCAACCCCTAGGCTTTATGCAAAGAGGGAATTGAGAGACCAAAAGATTTTAAGATTAAGGGAAGTGCAGTGTTTATGGGAGAAATTATTTCTCCCTTTTCTAAAATCAAGAGAAGAGGAACACTCTAAGAGAATTACTTGTAGAGTTTGGAAATGCCGATAGGAACAAGAGGTACATTTTATTGAACATCTGTTAGCCAGTGGTACCTGAACAAAGAAAAAGAAAATTGGGAAGAACTGACCCAGCAAGGGACTACCAAGTAGGGGGCTAGGTTAGGATAGCCCAATTCTCACTTGAGAATTCCAGTTGCTGGCATCAACCAGTTGGTCCTGTAGTTGGGGGGATGAGATTGGGGTGTAATTGTGCAGCTTGAGAGCAAAGGGCATATGTTTTAGAGAGATATGATACTAATGTTGCAGTGAGGGTCAGCTCCAAGAGATAGCCAAAGGATTGTTTTCCCCATAGGTTATCTGTTACTATAAGAACCATAGTAAGATCTAGGTTCCTTTTTTCAAAGCAGTCAGTCAGTTTTGGTAGCATTGTAAATTTATGTACTGTTTCTTAAAAAATGAAATATCTTCTTAAGAAATTTAAGCTATTAAATATTAGGTAGAGTAAAACCAGCATTTTTCAGATGGCATCCAGCATACATGAGTCCTTAGTTATAAATGGAAGCAAACATTGATATGTATCTGGTATGTTGTTGTCGCATCCTAGAAATGGTTACCAGGAGGACTGGGGTTTATCTCAGCATTGTTTCTACTCCACAAGAAGTATAAGTAATTAAAAGATCATTTTTAACAGAATAAGACCAGGCTTATTGTTTGTGCTGGTAGTAAGTACAAATTATAGAAGTTCTGCAGTGCTGATGAGAGTATTTATTTGATTAAAAGCACCTTCAGTTTGGTTAAACTCAAGCCTTTATTAAGATAAATTTAAAGTCTTAAAATATTAAATTTTGCATAAAGCTATGTTCTGACCAATTTGGAAAAAGAATGAGGTCTTGCAAAATTTTCTGTGGGGGCAAAACAATTTTATCATTCGGTTATGTTAAAATCATGATTATATTTAGAGGGCAGAAATAATGTATTATACATTAATGTAGCTTATAAGAAATGATAAGGGGCCAGGTGCAGTGGCTTATGCCTGTAATCTGAGCACTTTGGGAGGCTGAGGTGGGCGGATCACCTGAGGTAAGCAGTTCGAGACCAGCCTGGCCAACATGGTGAAACTGCAGCTCTACTAAAAATACAAAAATTAGCCGGGCATGGTGGCATGTGCCTGTAATCCCAACTACTTGGGAAACTGAGGTGGAAGAATCACTTGAATCTGGGAGACAGAAGTTGCAATGAGCAAAGATTGTGCCACTGCACTCCAGGCTGTGGGACAGAGCAAGACTCCATCTCAAAAAAAAAAAAAAAAGAAAAAGAAATTATAAGGACAGCGCATGTTAAGATCACGACACATTGTTGAACATGACGTATTGTTGAACAGTGACATTTAAGAGATATTAAAGATTACATTTAATGAAAACAGATGTCTTCTCTTATATTTTATTGTATTTCTGGTTATTTTTCACTGAAGGTTTGACATGATTGTAAAGGTTTAATACAACTGTAAATTTCTTTTCTAATAACTAAAAATGTTTTAAGGTATTAAACTAAGAACAGGAAAGAGTGGCATTTAATAACTTTAAAATGTGAATCTTGAAGTTTTAAGTTTACATTTTGCATGGATCTTGTAGTTTTGTGCTGATATGCTTGAGTTTCTTTTTAAAAATGTTTCATTTATTTCTGATGTTTTTCATTTTTGTTTTATAGGAAATGCCACAATCATTTTCCGCAGTCACATTAAGTAACGCAGAGATGAATAATATTAAGACTAATAAACAGAGAAATAAACTTCCAACAGAGGAACTTGGTAAAGTTTCTAAACGTAAAATTGCCGCCAAAAGAAAACCACATAAAGAAGATGATGCAGTGAGCTGTTTTGAGAATTGTTTGAGTGCCCAAGGAGAGTCATTTCTGGATGAGTCTCAAGGGGCTCATCCTGAGTCCAGCTCTAATCCCTCCAATTCAGTTCTACAAGGTTCTGTAGAAAACAAGGTCAAGAGGACATCCTGCATGTATGGGGCAAACTGCTATAGGTAAAATGAATTTTGTAATAGCATTTTAGTAGCATTTAATTCCATTATTTTGATAGCATATGACTATGTAGATACATGCTACAGTGTATTAAAAATCTGATAAAACCCACTGGCCTAAAGGTTAGGGGCTTTAATCATGTTTCTATTGTTTGTACTTTCTCAGTGTATTTTCTAGACATGCTGACTAATGTAAAGATCTGAATACTGGGGAATCCAGACATGAAAACTGAATCCCTCAGACCTAAATACCTGTTATTTAATCTCTTCTTAGATATTAGAGAGATAACTTCCTAAGTAGTTGTATACAGTATAACTGTAATTTTAGGTTGTGGGTAGGTGTCTTACTCATACATGTGCATTTTTCTTTATATTTTTCTATTGGTGCTTTGAATCCTCATGGTACCCTCTAAAACAACTGAATATAATAATCCTGGATTGATGGTTGCTCCTATACTTGCTTCATTTATTTACATTGCCCTATATATTCTAATTTCTTATTTTGAGAATTCAAATTATGATCTCTTAGTTTTAGCTATACTTTCATCCATAGTGTTTACAGTAACATGTTATAAATACATAAACCTATTTCAGAAAGATTTATTTGCCATTCTAACTTGACAAGCCAAAATATTCTAGCAATGCATTCCGGTAGATTATTGTCTTCTGTGTCAATAAGACATTAGTTAGCATGTGTACATATAAAACATTTAATTCCCCCACTGTATCTTAAAAGCGTATAGCAGGATTTTCTGGAAGATGGATATCTTTGTTGCAATAGTATATTTTAACATATTCTGTTAATTTCACATTCATATTATTTCTCTTTAAAATGTATTACCATCTTAGCACTTGAATACTCATATTTTTCAATTTAAATAGTTCTGATTTATGCCTTTTAAAAGGCATAAATATTATATCCTGAAATTTTGCATGCAGAGGCAACTGATTCAGTTCAATTTTTGGAGGTAGGGAACAATTCAGTTCATAACACAGTTTAAAAGAAAAAATTCATAATAATCATCTCCCTGGAGAAAAGTCATTTGATAAAATTCAACATCCCATCTGTTAAAAAAATTCTTAATAATGTAAGAATAGAAAATACTTCTTAAGTTTAATAAAGAATATCTATAGAAACCAGCAGCTAACTTCATACTTAATAGCAAAATATTAAAGTTTCTCCCATGATATTGGAACTAACCCAGTATGTCTACTATCGCCACTCCTATTCAACATTGCAGTAGAGCTCATAACCCCACTAAGCATATACTTAGCATACACTAAGGCAAGAAAAAGGAATAACTAATGTAGAGTGGAAAGGAAGATATAATACTGTAATTATGTACAGATGACATGATTGTATAATATTGAAAATTCAGAATAATCTCTTTTTAAATTATACATCAAGTTCTGAGATACATGTGCAGAACATGCAGGTTTATTACACAGGTATACATGTGCTATGGTGGTTTGCTGCACCCTTCTAGGTTTTAAACCCCACATGCATTAGGTATTTCTCCTTATGCTATCCTTCCCCTTGCCTCACACCACCCCGACAGGACCTGGTGTATAATGCTCCCTTCCCTGTGTCCAAGTGTTCTCATTGTTCAACTCCCACTTATGGGTGAGAACATGCAGTGTTTGGTTTTCTGTTCTGTGCTAGTCTGCTGAGAATGATGTTTTTCTGCTTCATCCATGTCCTTGCAATGGACATGAACTCATTTTTCTTTATGGCTGCATAGTATTCTAAGGTATATGTGTGTCCCATTTTCTTTATTTAGTCTATCATTGATGGGCATTTGGGTTGGTTCCAAGTCTTTGCTATTGTGAACAGTGCCTCAATAAACACATATGCGCATGTGTCTTTATAGTGGAATGATTTATAATCCTTTGGGTATATACCAGTTATAAGATAGCTGGGTCGAATGGTATTTCTGATTCTAGATCCTTGAGGAATTGCCACACTGTCTTCTACAATGGTTGAACTAATTTATGTTCCCACCAACAGCGTGAAAGTGTAAAAGCATTTCTATTTCTCCACATCTTCTCCAGCATCTGTTTCCCAACTTTTTAATGATCACCATTCTAACTGGTGTGAGATGGTATTTGTTTAAGTTTCGTGCAGATTCTGGATATTAGCCTTTTGTCAGATGGATAGATTGCAAAAATTTTCTCCCATTCTGTAGGTTGCCTGTTCACTCTGATGATAGTTTCTTTTGCTGTGCAGAACCTTAGTTTAATGAGATCCCATTTGTCAATTTTGGCTTTCATTGCCATTGCTTTTGGTGTTTTAGTTGTGAAGTCTTTACCCATGCCTGTGTCCTGAATGGTATTTCCTAGGTTTTCTTCTAGGGTTTTTATGGTTTTAGATCTTAAATTTAAGTCTTTAATCCATCTCGAGTTAATTTTTGTATAAGGTGTAAGGAAGAGGTCCACTTTCAGTTTTCTGTGTATGGCTAGCCAGTTTTCCCAACACCATTTATTAAATAGGGAATCCTTTCCCCATTGCTTGTTTTTGTCGGGTTTGTCAAAGATCAGATGGTTGTAGATGTGTGGTGTTATTTCTGAGGCCTCTCTTCTGTTCCGTTGGTCTGTATATCTGTTTTGGTACCCATACCATTCTGTTTTGGTTACATTAGCCTTGTGGTATAGTTTGAAGTCGGGTAGTGTGATGCCTCTAGCTTTGCTCTTTTTGCTTAGATTGTCTTGCTTATACAGGATCTGTTTTTGATATGAAATTTAAAGTAGTTTTTTTCTAATTCTGTGAAGTCCATGGTAGCTTGATGGGAATAGCATTTAATCTATAAATTACTTTGGGCAGTATGGTCATTTTCACAATATTGATTCTTCCCATCCATGGACATGAAATAAGAGACAATTCAGAATAATCTTAAGATAAACTGAATTAATAAATGAAGTTAAGACAGTCATTCAATTCAAAATGAACATTCAAAAATAAATACATTTTTGTATCCTAGTAGCAAATATCCCCAGGAAAACACATATAGATGTGCATCAAAAGGCTTATACTAGAATGCTCATTGCAGTATTATTTATAAAAGTCAATACCTGAAATGAACTCAAAAGTTTATCAGTAGTAAAATGGATAAAGTATAATAGCATAATGGATGATGATATTACTACATAGTAGTGAAAGTGTACTTACTGCTACATGTAACAACACAAATAAATCATATAAACATAAGTTCAAAGGCAGACAATACTGATCTGTTGTTTTATAATATCACTTCTTAAAGTATGATCCAGAGAACCCTGGAAGTCCCCAGAACACTTTTAAGAAATCTGTTAGGTCAAAAGTATTTTCTTTTCTTTTTCATTTTTTTGAGATGGAGTCTTGCTCTGTTGCTCAGGCTGGAGTGCAGTGGTGCAATCTTGGCTCACTGCAACCTCTGCCTCCCAAGTTCAAGTGATTCTCCTGTCTCAGCCTCCCGAGTAGCTGGGATTACAGGCATGTGTCACCACACCAGCTAGTTGTTGTATTTTTAGTAGAGATGGGGTTTCACTATGTTTACCAGGCTGGTCTTGAACTCCTGACCTCAAGTGATCTACCCGCCTTAGCCTCCCAAAGTGCTGGGATTGTAGGTGTGAGCCACCACAACCAACACAAACATATTTTCATAATAGTACTGTGACTTTTCGTGAATGCCTTTTTTTTACTGTCACTTACTCTTTCACAGTTGTACAGTGGAGTTTCCCAGAGGCCACATGGTGTTGTTGTTAATGGATTGAATGCAGAAGCAGGCATGAGAAGCCAAATGTCTTCTCTAAAGGAGAGATTAAATAAATTTCCATAATATAAAACAACATTCCCATGAATTTTTTCTTGAAAATTAAGAATTATTTATGTTAAGATATGTTACTATGATAATATGTAAAGGGTTTATTATTGTTCCATTTAAGTCAGTAAGTGTATTTTTTCAGTTTCTCATTTTTAATTTCTAATAGGGTAAATAGCCTATGTAAACAAAGGTTCTCTGGAGTTTTAATCATTTTTTGCACATAAAAGAATCTTGAGACTGAAAATTTTGAAAAACACATTTAGAAGTTAGTATAGTTACCTTTGGGTAGTAAAATGGGTTTAGTGATTGGAAGAGGGGACATGGGATCTTTCTAGGATGTTGGAAGTGCTCTGTTTTTTATCTTAGCAAAGGGTACAATATATGTGTTCATTTTATTAAAAGTTTTGAAAAGCTATATATGCTTGCGATATTTATATTATATGCTACGTACTATACATAGTAATGTTTGCTAGTTGTCTACTGATATTCACGTCTTATCGCATGACACTAGAAATGTATTATGTTACTGTGGGAGTCGTGTACTGAGCTGATATCATCAACTTTATGTCATCAGTTTAATATGTTGCTATAATGTATGCTTATGTCATCAATGTAGCATGTTGGTTTATGTTCAGGAATAGCCAGATGTAGATTGCCTGGTTTTCTGCTATATCCACTATAAATCTAGACAGTTTCTATTTATTTTTTCTGACAGTTTGTTTGTTGCCCTCCTAGGAAGAATCCTGTTCATTTTCAATGTTTTAGTCATCCTGGCGATAGTGATTATGGAGGTGTACAAATCGTGGGCCAAGATGAGACTGATGACCGGCCTGAATGTCCCTACGGACCATCCTGTTATAGGTATAGAAACCGAAATGTTTGCTTATACTCCTTTTCTTTCTCGTATCTGTTATTTATCTGGGAGAAACTGACATCAGCTTGTTATGTCAAGCCTTTTAATTTTAATTTTTAAACTACTGTAGATTACAGGTTTTCATATTGGTAATAGGATTATCTTTCTTTTGGATAATTCTAAATTATTGAAGTTACACATCTTACAAGTACCTGAAATTTTTTCTTATTTCTTACTTTCTGATCACTTAAGAGCTGTTGATGCTACCCCAACATACACTCTGTTCACTCTGCATGTACTAAGTGTGACATATAAATCCATTTTGGATGTTATCTCTGCATCCCTCTGCTTCCTCAACTTTTACTACTCCACTGTTCTTGCCAACACATGAAATACAATTCTAAAAGAAAAGTAAGAATACCTCTCCTCTCAGTTTTCATGGCATCTTGTCCATGTCTTTATCATGCACAGAGTAGGATTTATTTCACGAGATAATGTTTGTTTCTTTATCAGAAACGTCTCTTCCTACAGGTAGCAAGTATCTTGACAGCAAGGACTCTTATCCTTGTATCTTGCAGCTTTGCTTAATAAATGAATGAACTCAAAATGAAACAGACTACCAAAGAAAGAATTAGTGATTTCAGCTTTAGAGAGCTTTAATTACAGACAGCCTTATTTCTTAGATTATTTTTAAATACAGATTGCTGAACCTACTGGGCTATTTGAAATTGTTGCTATTTCTATGATTGTAGTATTCAATGAGAAGACAAAGTAAGTTTCTGGGACCAGAAAGGAAAAAGGCCTACACTTTTTTAGAAAGATAAGTCTGATCAACTTTACTGATAAACTTAAAAATTTTTGGAGAAATTAACAAATTCTTAGAAAAGTACAACTTTGAGAAACATATACAAGAAAAAATTGAAAATGGAGTTAATGTAAGAGAAATTGAATACATGATTTAAAGCTTTCCACCAAAGAAATGATATATCTGTTTGGTTTTAATGGCAAGTTCTAACAAACATTTAAAGAAGAAGCACTTCATTTTTACACAAACTACTCCAAAGAAATTAAAAGAGTGTGTATTTCCCAGTTCATGATGTGAGACCAGTACAAGCTTGATACCAAAACCTAGCAAGAATAATATAAGAATAAAAAATTACAGGATAAGCTTACTTTTGAACATAGTTGTAAATATCCTGAGGGGGGAGAAATGTTATGAGAATCAAGCAATAAATAAAAAGGAAAATATAATATGACGAACTGTGGTTTATCTAAGGAATGTATGTTTTAACAGTAAAAAATAATATCATTTACCATGTCATCAGAATAAGTAGAAAAGTCATCTCCACAGATGATTGGAAAGAAAAGACCTGACAAACCAAAATCAGCATTCATTTATGAAAAAAACTATTTACAAGTAGGAATAGAAGGGAACTTCTTTAATATCAAAAAGAATATCTACAAAAAACTTGTAGCAAATATTATACTTAAAGTAAAATATTTAAAATATCTCTCCTGAAATCAGAAATGATACAGGAATGCCTGTTATTACCACTTCTGTTCATCGTTATATGGAGATTCAAGACAGTATACTAAAATAAGAAAAGGAAAATGTATAAGGATTGCAAAGGAAGAAATAAAATTTTGTGTCAACAGATGGCATTATTGTATATGCAGTAAAGACAGACTGGCCCACTGATGAATTAAAAACTCAGTAAGTGCTGAGGAAGGATATTGGTTAGAAAAATCAATATACAAAACCAATTATATTTCTATAGTCCAACATTAACCAGTAAGAAAATAAAAATTTTAAAAGATTATAGCAACATAAGTAAGAAGTCCTTAGGAATAAATAGAAAAGGTATAGAGTCCTCTATGAAGAAAACTATAAAACTTTAAATGTAAAATGAGATAATATTTTTTAGAAAGAGCTGAATAATTATGAAGATCAAAATGTTCATGATTGAATTATCCACTAGTATCAAAATACCAATTTTCCTCAATGGATTTGTATACAAACTGATTCAAAATCGTAATAGCTTTTATATAGAAAATCATAATGTGATTCTAAAATTAATATGGATTACAAAGGATAAAAATAGCTCTGACAATCATACATAATGAAGAATAGGTGGCAGGATGTGTTATACTTTATAGTTACTAAGGCAGTGTGGTATGGGCACAAAGATCAAGTAACATGACCAGAACAGCATGGTACTTTAAAATAGACTTATACATATAAGGTGACATATTTATGAAAAGGGACATTGCAGGTATTAAGAAAAATGAATTTTTTCAATTAATTATGAGGGGATAAGTAATATTCATTTGAAGAAAAAATAAAACTGGACCCTTATATCACATCATAGTCAAAACCTGAATTTCAAATGACTCATAGTACTAAATGTAAAAAACAAAATAATAAAGCTTTAAAAATAAATAGAAGGGAACTGTTTCATGTTCTCAGAGAAGGGATTATTTTCTTAAATAAGAAACAAAAAAGCGGTAATTAAAATGGAAAACATTTCATTATTTGGCTACATTAAAAGTAAGGTGTTTTTAATGCATCAGTACACAACATTAAGAGAGTAAAAACAAGCACAGAGTAAGAAAATATATATTTACAACTCACATAACTGACAGTAGCATATATCTAGAACAATGAAACAATATTTTAACTTGCTTAGTAATATACATAGGCTTTTTGCCCAAAAGGAAATCCAAATATTAATAACATATGAAAAAGTACTCAGTGTCATTAGTAATCAGGGAAATCACACACACATCCACACACACGTAAACATATCACCTTGAAGTAACTGTTTTCTCCTATTTATTTATTCAAAAAATATTTTCCAAAGAATCAAGTGCCAAGTATTGATGAAACAATGTTGAGATGTACTTGTAGAACAAACATATTTGTATATATATTTTTATATATTTGGAACAAAGCCACCTTTGATACTTTGATAGCTCATGTTATACGTAATTGATGGCACAGTGGTGATGTGCCTTTTCATTTGTTTAGAAAAAAAACTTTTGTAATGGAGAATTTTATCCATAAATACAAGTGAAAAGAATGTAGAATAAGTTCCAGTGAAGCCACCACCTAGTTTGTGCAGTTACCAACTCATGGCCAATATTGTTTCATCTACCCCCCAAACTTTGAAGCAAATACCTAACCTGATATCTTTTTATCCCATTTTATCTATGAGTATCTTAGTGTGTATCTGTAAAAATACTGTCTCAAAACATACCATAACACTGTTATTAAATAAATCTTTAATATTATTCAGTATCCTGTCAGATATCTACATTTCCCTATAGTGTTTTTGTTTTTGTTTTTGTTTGTTTGTTTGTTTTTTACAGTTTATCTGAATTAGCATCTGCTTAAGTTCTATGTGGCCAAAGGTAGCCATATCTTGTAATTTATTTAATCAATAGATTTCTCTTTATTTTTTTTCCTTGCTATATTTTTGTTGAAGAAAGCTAATCATTTGTTCTGAAGAGGATTCCATCATTCACACTTTGTAGATTGTATTTTCAGGTTGTATTCAGGTTCTCCTGTATTTCCTAAAAATTTATAGTTTGAACTAGAGGGTTGATCAGATATCAGTTCTAAAAATTGTTTATAATATAACAACCCCAGGTTATGTGGTTAGTGTTTGTGTAATATCTTTTTTAATCCTTTTAGTTTTAACATGTGTTCTTATATTTAAAACATGTCTCATAAAGAGCATATAGTTGGTTCATTGGTTTTTCTTTTTAATCCAGTCTGGTAGTCTTTGCCTTTTAGGTGGAGTACTTAGTCCATTTATAGTTTTTTTGAGATGGAGTTTTGCTCTGTTGCCCAGGCAGGAGTGCAGTATTGCAATCTCAGCTTACTGCAGCCTCCACTTTCTGGGTTCAAGTGATTCTTCTGGCTCAGCCTCCTGAGTAGCTGGGATTACAGGCATGCAACACAATGCCTGGCTAATTTTTGTATTTTTAGTAGAGATGGGGTTTCACGTGTTGGTTAGGCTGGTCTCAAACTCCTGACCTCGTGATCTGCCTGTCACATACATACATATGTGTGTGTGTACATATGTGTGTGTGTGTGTGTGTGTGTGTATGAATACTACTCAGCCATTAAAAGGAATGAGTTAATGGCATTTGCAGCGACCTGGATGAGATTGGAGACTATTATTCTAAGTGAAGTAACTCAGGAATGGAAAACCAAACATTATATGTTCTCACTCATATGTGGGAGCTAAGCTATGAGGATGCAAAGGCATAAGAAAGACACAATGGACTTTGGGATCTCAGGGAGAGAGGATGGGAAGGGTGTGGGGGATAAAAGACCACAAATTAGGTGCAATGTATACTGCTTGCGTGATGGGTACACCAAAATCTCAGAAGTCACCACTGAAGAACCTACTCGTAACTGAATACTACTCGTTCCACAATAACCTATGGAAATAAAAAAATTTAATTAAAAAATGGAGTATCTTGCCTGTCAACTAATTTATTCTTCTTGTGCTGTCCACTGCTGTTTGTCAGAATACTCACTCAGTTTAGTGGATTTCATTAGTTTAAGGCCCTTGTCTGAATTAGAACATTAGATATTTAATGTCCAGTGATTGCTCTTTCTCCCTCTGACTCATTTAGTTCCTCTGATGAATAATAGGATTTTATTAGTGTGTATTCCTGTTCTTATTTGTTGAAGTAAGCACTTATCTTAGAATACAAACACACTGATATGAATAGAGTCTGTTTTCAACCAACTTGGAGTAAGAATGTAAAGTCAAACTCATGTACATTGCCTTGGATTACAAAACCTTAGGCTGCCATGTGTCATGCAAATAAAATGTTGGTGTCTTGATGTCTTTCAGAAGCTAGTGTCTTACATATTTTTTAATTATAATGTCTTCTAAGAGGGATGACTTAAGGAGGTGTGTCAGTTATCAGCTGTAAGTGCTCTCAGTGTAATATTAAATCTGTAACGTGGCCTGTGTTGTGTGAAAAACAC